CCAGCCTCTGGGCAGCCTCTACTCCAGCTCTAGGTACTTGCTGTCCCAAAAGCCTGGTTTACAAAATTGCACGTGGACAGACCTCATGTGGCCTGAGGACTGCTAGATACTAGTTTAAAGGGAAGCTTTTCCTAATAGTGGTGTCACTAGCCGTATCTCTATGCCCTCAAAATAAGCCAAAAGCCTTCGAATTTATTTGTGATCCCTAATAAAAGCCCAGCCCCATGTAATTTATCCTTCCAGCACCTGTAGTTACACTACCAAAACATCTTTGGATTGATGAATCCAACACTCCAGCTAAACCCTATCCTCTTCCCCCGAAGAGAACAACTGTTTACCCCTCCAGATGAGAATTTGTACTCCAGCATTTTCTAGATGCTTTAACAAATTGTAGGCATTGCTAGCCCTGTAAATAGACCAGTATTGGGTAGCAGAAGTCAACTTGTTTTCCGAACCGCATTAAGCTTTTTGTAGCCACGTTCAACTATTGCAGACAGAGGGAAGGCACAGGTTTGGCAGACAGCTCTGAGCAGGCAGCTGAGAACCTGCCCTTGGACAAGTGGTGTCCTGGGTCAGTTATCTGCTGAAAGCAAAAACATCCTTCACAGAGATCAAGATTCCCAACACCAGAAAAGCCAGTAGTTACCATGGGCTGAAGAAAATTAACATTTAATTCCCAGTTAAGGACATAAAAGATGTCCAGTGGCAATGGAAGGGACTGTAGGAATGGGCAGAGATGTCACCTGGTAAGTGCATCGGCCTGTGCATGGTCTACCTGTGCACCAACAACCTGCACACTCCAGATAGACTCAGTGCATCAGCTGCAGGCTGGGCAATTACAGATTTTAGTACCAAGACAGCCATTCCATTTCCAGCCAGTCCTGAGCTTGCTGTTCATCATGTCAGACTTAACGCTTTGTATATTCAACCCTCCATGCACGATTTGCCTCCTTTCTCCTTCAGCTGTGGCAGCCAGGAGGCATTTTTGGGAAGACCATCTGTGCTCTGGAGAACCAGAGCAGTTACTGGCAACACAGAGCAGAAGAGCTTTGACAAGTCAACAGAAACGTGGGGTTTTGGGACTTAGCCACAGCAGAATAACCCAACACTGATACTTGGGTTCGGTTCTTTGAAGAAAACCCTTCCTTTTAAGGGCTCACCTGGGAGCCCACACCAAGCATCATTCACATATTAAAAAAACAAAGGAGAATTAAGCATAGGAAAGGCAATTTCTCTAACTCTCAGGGAATACATTAGCCTAATAACCGAGTTTAATAAGGCCCATTAGACATACCTAGGATTAACTTTGAGGCAAAGGATACTGTATACCCCAGCCATTTTTATCAGTCTTTTCTCAAGGAAATATTTTGAATCCTGGAGAAACACAGACCTCCATCTTCTACTGCTGGAGACGGTTGCTTATCATGTGCTGGCCACCCAGCACAGCCCCTGGAGTGTTTTCCAGTTGCTGTGTTTTCCAGGGCACCTGTTCCAGAACTGGACAGCCTGTTTGGGGTCACAGCCTTAGCAACCCATGTCTACACAGGAGAGATCTTTTAGCAACAGCTTTCCTGATCTCAGATGAGATCCTGAGCCCCTCAACTCAGACTGCAGCTCATGCCCTGGAGTACTGATGGGATACTGCCGGCGCTAAGCCGTGCATGGCTCTCAAGGATGCAACTTGCCAAGACAAAGAGGGACATCTCCAGGAGACCTCACTGCTGCTCAGCGATAGCAGCCATCTGCAGCCTTCCAAGGAAGCTCAGTGACATTAGCCAGCTCTCCCCCAACTGGTGATGGGCTTAGTACACTTATTTAATTCTAGCAGCCATCAGAGTCAAGCACAAGAGACGTTACCAAGGAGATCCTGGAGTCAATGAAGGGTTTGACCAAGCATCTGACTCACACCTGCAACAGACTCAGCCAGGAACAGCATCTGTGTCCTTCCAGCACAGTTTATTTCAGATAAAGTGCTCAAACACCCTGATTGACCTAGGCAGGGAGGCAGACCCAAAGGTCCCAGGAGAGGAAGTAAACAGGACTTCACATTTGGACACCAGAAAACGCAATCCACAGCACTTAATTAAAAAGCAGTCAAATAAATTAGCTGAGAGGAAGTACAAGTGTTACAGATAGTTAAAAATACACTGAAAGCTTGTTAAATCCAAGCTTCATCTGTTACCTTTTCCAAGACAATTAGCATATTAATTCTTGGCCAAGAGTTATACTGCATCACAGAGCTTATTTAGATGAAAGCCTAATTAGATGTAGTATGGCTGAGCACCTCCAAAGCATAAGGTGCAAATGGACATTTTGAGCTACGTATTTGGCAGAGAAGCTGACATTGGAGGCATAACAAAACTAGATTAAACAGACCGATACCAGGATACTTGTGAGGACCCAGCCTCCTATTCAAGAGCAGGAGTCTGCACGGCAAGCTGCTACATTAGATGTGACATCTGTAAAACCCCTTGAGCAACACAAGTGATTCTGTGTCTAGGTTTACTCAGATGCCCCAGCTGCAGCACACAAGCTCTCTCCACTTCCAGTTTTGTTGTTAGCAGTACTGGATAGTGAATCATTTGTTAGAGAATAACAAGTTACCAGCGTGCGGTATAGCTATCCTACCCTGTACAAAGCTGTACAGCAGTTTGCTCATGCCCCAGGAGACTACTTAATCTCATATTATCTGCAGTAAAGAATGCCGATGACTGGAGATCAATAACATAGTTAACAGGGACACATGACAACAACATTTCAGCCCCATCAGAAAGGAGCTGGGATTCTACGTAGCAAATAACAAATTTGTTATAACATTTATCTCGTGGTAGATCTGCATTTATTTGCAGCACTGAACTTGGCCTTCAGTCTCAACAGCACACCTGTATGTGGGTGAAAGTGAGGTAACCATGAGGGTAGACCTGGCTCTCCTTGACCAGTCAACAATTTTAGAGTTAAGTCAGCAAGACTCAATAGCTCTAGACAAGAGAAAGAGAACCATCCTACTACATCCCATCAGTATGCCCAGGGGAGGAGGGTAGGACCTCTAGAAGAAGGGCTCAGTCATAAGCAAGTCCAGACCTATACCCCCCAGGCAGTTTTGTCAAGAGGAGACACTACACCACCATATTCACAAGACAGGTGCCCCCAGATCCCCCTCAAAGCAGAAGTGAGGTCTGCCAGACCTCAGGTGCAGCATAATATTAACTCCAAGGTAAAGCTGAGTGAAATCATCTCCCTCACCCCAAACTATCCTACAATTTTGTTCCACTTTACGCAAGTTCAATATTGCCTAAAGCTTTTAGCCACAGTCCAGCCAAAACAAAGAAGAGAAGGAAGTTTTGTAAGATGAAACGAGATGAGAAAGGATACTTAAATGCTCTGGCCACACTGGTGTCCTTCCTCAGGAGAGTGGAGCACCTCCTGCTGCTCTGCCAAACACAAGGAGGAGAGAACCTGGACAGCCTATGGCCAAAGTGGGTCAGGTCAAGATGAGGAGACAACAACCCCTCCTACCCAACCAAGGTGTCTCAAAGCATCATCCAACCCTAGGCATTGGTCCAAGGTCTGCTCTGAGTTTTGCAATACTGGGTTGGTGTCCAAGAAATTTCCCTTGCACGTACAGAGGGATGGATAGAGAGGCAGATGCCTGCACTTTTTTTTTTGCTTGTTTTTATATAGGATCAGACTTTCAGCCAAATTCGCACGCGCTGGGACAAAGCCAGACGCCAGGCAAGCAAGAAGACTGAAGACTAAAGGACAGTATGAGCCATTCAGACTCTCACCCCACAAAAGTCAGCCCTTTGCACAGGCAAGATACTTGGAAAAGACGTTCAGGGAGGCAGAAAAAAGTCAAGTGGCTTTGTTTTAAATAGCCTATGTAGCAGGGGAAGTTACCTAACATGATCAAGCAGTACATGAGGTCCCGTGCATGAACCACTGCACCACATCATTGCCTCCACCCATCTTTGATCTGCAGGGTCCCACATCATCATCCCCAAAGCTCAGCCTGAGTCTGAGCTCCTCTGGCAGGCACCTGGCTTTGGCTTTGAACAGGCAGGCTTTGAAGCTGGTCCTGCATTTTGTTGCCCATGACAGGCTACAGAACTGGCGAGGGGTTGCGTTGCTGGATGCGGCAGTCGCCAACGCAACATCTCCCATCTCCCCAGGCAGAAGCACATGAAGAAATGAGTAAGGAAGCACAAATATCACCGCAGGACCCCCACGAGGTGCCTCCAAGGAAAACTGACCTGAGGAGAGTTAAGACAGCTTTCCATCGCTAAGCAGGATTATCTAGAGATGAGGCCAATCACTGTCACTAAACCACACTCCATTTTGAATTATGCACATGTCCCAGATCCATCATTAACATGCCAGTGCCAACAAGGTGGCCACTGAGGTCTCGGGTCAGCCCTACATATTTTATAGGTCTCCTGAATGATTTATTCTCTGTACTTGGCTTGCAGTTTAACAGTTCACTCTCAGTTTAACAGAACTCTCAATTTAACAGTTCACATGCTATTAATTCAAATGACCTCTCTCAACTCAAAACATCACTTGGCATCTTGCTAGTTGTATAAGCAAGCTAAGTTACTTTAAGGACCAGAGCTGAGCATGGGAAACACACACAGATCTTTTCCCCAATCGGTTCACAACTGATCCTACAGATCCATCTAATATCTAATGCCACATCTTTCTGTCAGAGATGAGCACCAGCAGCTCTGCATGCAGGACTGGGCAGGGGACAGCATGAAAGCAAGAGCTGAGGGGTTAATTCCCCAGCTTCAGGTCCTCTTAGCTCTGTTAAAGATTTGCTTAATCAACAAGCCATTTCACAGGTCTCTTCGTCCCAGGAGGAATTATCAGTTTGCTTTTTCAGGGCGGAAACCCTTTTGCAACACAAACAGAGCAATCACTCCACAAGGCACAGGGTAAATTGTTGCCCAAGTGCATTTTCCTGCAAAACCCCGCTATTTGCAAGTCCCGACACTTCCCTAGACAAGCACCCTTGCAGGAGGAGTACAAGGCTCTATCAAGCAAATATTTACACTTGTTGAATTTATTCCTGCGAGATCCCTAGAGCTGCTTTCACAAGCACGCAAGGGAGCTTGCAGTTTGGGATTTCCCAGATTGTCTCTCCAACACCTTTAACCTACATGTTTCAGCCTGCAGCAGCTCTTCCCAGGATGGGTGTCAGCCACCGACACCCAAGCTGCTCCTCTCGCCGAGCAAGTGATTTACCAGCACGGAAGGCTGTAAAAGCAAACTCTTTGCTGTACCTCCTGACATAAAACCTTGCTCTTACACTGAATCTTCAACTCCCCATTACAAAGCAACAATAAATAGCAATGCCTTTTTTTCCCCTCCCCTGTTGATGTAGGTGGGGGGAATACAACATTACAAAACAGGGCTGCAAACAGTGAATTTTACCAGCCACGCAGTGTTGATAAAACTACTACACTTTCCTTCCTACCATCACGGGGGGGCTCATTTTTAAGCAAATGCCACACACCCACGTTATGTCAGGCTGCAAACTCCCTTAGATAAACCAGAGCCGTTTGCAACAGCCTCAGGAAAGCAGCCCAACCCTCCAAGCTCGCTAAAAAGCAAAACCTGCGCAGAGAGTTGTAATCCTCACCCCTAAGAAAAGCTGCAGCCAGCCTCCCCGCCATTGCACATTGCTTTCCCCCCCTCCTTCCCCTTCTTAAACAACCACTCCTGCAGGCAGGAAGACGAAGGGGGATATAATAAATAAAGCTGAGCGTTTCGGTGCTGCTTCCATCCCACCCTGCACCTTGTACCGCCGGGATGCTGGTCCCCCATCGCAGCATCCCCCCGGAGCAGGCACCCTCCTCTGCCTCCCCCCGGTACCTCTCAGCACCCCGGAGTAGGCAGCGATGATGGTCTTCATTGCGGAGGGGCGGTCAGGTCCCGGCCAGGGCCATGGGATGGAGAAGGGCACCCGGCTCCGCAGCCCCGGTGCAGCCGGCGAGTGGGAGAAGCACCGGCCGCGCATCCCTATATAGCCCCGGGGAGGAGGAGGAGGAGGAGGAGGAGGAAGAGGAGGGCGGGGAGGGGCGGGCCCCGGCAGGGCGCCTGGGTCCCTCAGCCCGGGGCGGGGGGGAGCTTTTGGCCCCGGTGAGGCAGCTTGCTGCACGGGATGGGGATTTGGGGGTGAGGACAAGGCACCCACACACCCTCTGCAAGGTGTTTCCATCCCTGTTTTCCTTCCCCCCCACCGCAGGGTGGGGGAAAATCCCCCCAAGCCCCCACTTCTGACGGGCATTTTAAGACCGCTTCTTGGTCAGATGCTCTCCCACTTGCTCAGATGCTCTCCCAACCCACTCTTGGCTGATTTTAGCTTTCCCAGCGGGATTTGGGAGATCTGGGTTCCTAAAAGCATCATGAAATTAAGGCAAAAGGTAGAAAAGAGAAAATCCGAGAAATTTTATTAATAGAAGCTTTAATGGTTTCATTAAGTTTCATTTTCATTAAGATAGCCTGCAGGTATGCCCAAACCACTGACCAAGCCTCATTTTCTTCTAACAAAGTGTTTAAGGATCTACTCGCAAGATCCATAAGAAACGAGGTGTCATTTAGGTTTGTATCAAGGTTTTAACGTAACTGCACTTGCCAAGAAATTTCTATAAATGTTTACAGATGGGGACAGATGGGTCTGTCCCAGCTCCCATGACATTAAACCAGATTCTTTATAATGGGGTCATGTCTGGCCCTGTGGTTAAAGGGGGAGATTTCACTACATCCCTGGGCAAATGATCAAGACTGTACACCTTTCCTAATCTCAGTTTCATCTTCTGTAATTTGGAGAAAATAAAAAGAATCTGCATTTGAGAAGCACTTTGAGATCCCTCAGGGAAAATCCCGTTGAAAGCCACAAGCATGCAGAGCTCCCCATATGCAGAGGGCAGGTAGCAATCACCACCGAAACACCCCCAAAACCCCTTCAACTTCTGCCTGGCTTTTAGGGCGGGAGCAGGATCGTGCCTTGCTGACCCAGCAGTTTTCGCCTGTTGCTCCTGGGGATGCCTCTGAACATCTACTTTTTGGCCCCGAGAGACATGTCTACCAGTGTGTTTCGCAAAAAAAAGAGTCATATTTTCAGCTGTGGAGAGCTTAAATCAGAGATTCAGAAGTGAAAGAGTGATTTATTTTTTTTTCTCAGTCCCCTGAGGCATTCCCATACCCATCTTTTTGAGTCAGACTGGCACTAGGACTTGTTCGCTCCCCATTTGGCCAAATGGCCGTCTTCCAACAGTTGTAGTGGCCTGTTGAAATCTGTATAAAAATGGAAAATTGCAAGAACCTGTCTGAAGAAAGGGTCTTGCCCAACAGCTCTTGGATAAGACCTCCAAAATGGAGCCCAGAACCAAAATAAATCACCACTAAAATACTGCTGAGTGAAAAGGGAACAGTCTCCTGCCTGTCTGTGTCCCCTCTTGACTTAAACAGAGTTATCTGCAAGCAAAGTAAGGACTGCAGTAGCTTTTCTTATCGTAACCAGAATAAAAAACTGCAAAAAAATTATACTGCCGGGTTATGACAGCATGAGATAGGCAGATGATAGAAAAATGTTAGTGTGCTGTTAGTGATCTGTCATCTGTCCAGATCCATCGTCGTTCTGTTGACCTATATCCACTTTTTCATACATTTTGGGTGCAATTTCTCTGAATCCTCATCATCACTGGGGTTGTTTAGTCTGGAGAGGAGGAGGCTGAGGGGAGACCTTATTGCTCTCTACAACTGCCTGAAAGGAGGTTGTAGCAAGGTGGGGGTCAGTCTCTTGTCCCTAGTAACGAGTGATAGGACGAGAGGAAACGGCCTCAAGCTGCACCAGGGGAGGTTTAGGTTAGATATTAGGAAAAACTTCTTCACCGAGAGGGTGGTCAAGCATTGGCCCAGGCTGCTCAGGGAAGTGGTTGAGTCTCCATCCCTGGAGGTATTTAAAGAACGGATAGATATGGTGCTTGAAGACATGGTATAGATGGACTTGGCAGTGATAGGTTGATGGTTGGACTCGATGATCTTAAGGGTCTTTTCCAACCTTGACGATTCTATGATTCTATGATTCTATGATCTTCTTCCTTCGTATGCTGCTGTGAGGTTCCAGCCTGGAAGGACATATTAATAAAATAAATTAAAAGAATTAATAATAAAAAATCCCCTCGGTGCTTAATGGAGTATTACAGCTTGCAGGAGTAAAGACACAACAGCGGTAGCCCCAGGCGGAGCAGCAGCTTGAACGTGTGACTTGCAGGTGCAAACTGTGACACCATGTTTCTCGGGAGGAAGGAAAATTTGAGCTCAGATCCGTGATGAAACAGCTGAGCCCCGGGACAGCCTCTGCCTTCATGCGACCTGAGCAGCGGCAGGGAACTGGCTGCTGCCCAGCTCCCGTCTCACTCGTTTTACCAGTACTTGTCCTGCAACTTTTTTTTTTTTTTTTTTGCCTCTCCCATTCATCCCACTGAAAATCAGAAAACAGTCCCAAATAATAGATTAGAAATACCTTCCCTCTGTTCCCCCGCAAGGATATTTTTTCCCACCGAGAAGCCACACACCACAGTGCTAGTTCGATAGATGGTTTTGGAAATGCCCATGGTTTTGCTCAGTGCTCACGCTGGCACAGGAGATATATGACCCTGTCTATTATTAACCCGCATGTCTGGCACGATTATTCTTGAACAATAACATCCTTTCAAATACCCTACTCTTACTTCACCTGAGCCTGAAAAACATGGGTTGTGGACAGAGTAACATGGGCAGGAGCCAGCCTTCCAGCTCTCTGCAGCCAAGAACAATTCACAATAGTTTCAGACTCCTTTATTTCTGTTTTTTTTAGCAGCAACCGAATCTCACACCAAAGCAGCAATGCGCCCTTACGCAGTCACATATTGTTCTTTAATGCACGTGCTGAAGTTTTAGGGCGATGCCTGTTGAATAAAGCTTTTGAGGACACATTTATTTTTCTCTTCCCACTTCTATTCAGGGACTTGAGAACTGTTTGTAAGGCGTGGGGTGGGCTTGCAGTACTTTGAGTCAGCCGTCAGTGTACAACTGTGTAGCTTTGCTTCTATATGGTTATTTAGCAGCAGAAAATGCCCTATTTTCAAAGCAGCAGCGTTCATTGTCTTCACCCAGGGCCCAGGTGCTTGGCTGGATGTATGAAACTGCCTGTATTTGGCATGTCGGGACACACACACTCAAGTTGAACTTATCTGTCATTGTAATTCTCCTTCTCTGACTTAAAAATGTAGAGTCATTTTCCTGCCTGTGGTTAACCCTCTGTTTATGGATTTTTAAGTTTTCTCTTTCCGGGCAGTATTACTTTTAGTAGATTTTTGTTTCCGGGGCTGATACAAGCCTTAAACGCAGGGGGTTTACAGCTGCCAGGGTTGTCCATTAATCCAAGCATCTCTGCACAGGCTGCAACCACAGCATCTGAAATGGGCTTTTTCTCCCCAGTTTCTCCTCCTGAGCCCAATAAGAACTTGATGGGGCCATCTCTGTGCCAGAGACCAGAGCTTGGGTACCGCCATCAGGTTCAGCTCACTGTATATTTCTTCTGATGTCTGCAGTGCAATGAATTCAGGTTGGAAATGAGGTCCGCTCTCGTTGCAGGCCACTTGTGGTGGGTGAGGAGCATCCTCATGGAAAGGGAGAGCCTTGTGTTGAGCAGGAGGACTTTACAAGCACACAAAGTTTGTGCTGCCAAATTGTGTCCCACCGAAGACCGCTCACCAGACCACCGCGACCTCCAGATCGCTTCTGCTTTCATCCCTGCATCTTCCTCTGAGCCACAATCATCCCCTCACCGGGAGCAATGGAAGTCTTATCATCCGTGATGTAAATGACAAACCAAACGATAAGAGCTGGGATTTAACGAGGAGTTTGAACCCGAGTCAGCCAGCCAGCAGGATTTGCTTTGCCAAATTGCCAAGCAGGCAGAACAGCGACAAGACCCTTTCTCACTCCTGCGGCGGTTATTTTT